TCATTTGTAAGTATACACACCTTATATACGCATTTCTTTTGTGGGCAGTTATGAAGAATTTGTGTTAAATTTAAAAAATGAAACTGAAACGGAAAAGTAATAATATACTCCTTAATTGTCATTTATCCTTCTTTTTGAAGGCTTTGAATGAGTACTGTTTTGTTGCCCATTACAAGGTACAATCATCAAATAAAACACCTTGTTATAAATATTGAATGAAACAATCGTTAATGACAATGACAAAGAAAAAAACTGAATCTTGCCAAATTTATCTTTATTGGTGAAAGAAAAATATACAGTAAATAAAAAAAAATTTTTTACTATTTAAAAAAAATTTTAATAATAATAAATCAAGTATGGAATTACAATATACTTCAAAACGGAAATACGGGGACGTTACATTTTTTAAATAAAACAAAAACAGTAAATAAAATGAAAAGGTCTCATATATAGTTAAAGTGCATCCAAAAAAAATTTTACTATTAGCTCTAAGCAAAAAGGAAATAATTTCCTGACTCCGTTTTCGATTTATTTGACTTTTCATTTTGTCTATCCATTTTTGGATATGATCGGCAAAAATCTTTTGCTCATATGTAAAGTCAAAAACAGTATTCAAAATCTACTTTTTTCCTTAAGTAAACTTGTAGAGCAGGCTAAGGTATGCTTATTTATGATTTTCAAGTTTATATTAATCTTAATTTATAAAAAAATTAGTTCACTCATATTATATTTAATCACGTGATTTAACGCTTAGACGATTATCCAAAACCTTCTTAAGATTAAAACAGTTGACTAGTTAAGTAATTCATAAATGGAGATAGTGAGGTTCGCTTCCAATCAGAATTTTACACTTTTTTTTATTACATTCTTATAGAAAATTAATGGGCTAGTTGTTATAGAATTGATATTGATTCGAGTTTATCAATTTAGTGCCTTAAGATATAAATTTCTAAACCAATTCATTATTTTAAACCAGTATACTATTGGAAAATTCTTTATAATTATTTGAATTTCTAATCATGAAAGATCTTTATATGATGATGGACTAATTTAAATTTTAGTGAACAAAAATTGTCAGTATATATATACAGTATGTTCATGCTGTATTGTCAATTTTCTATCGTACCATGATTCCGAAATCAAGCATTACCATTAAGAGCCAAAATTATGACTCAAGCACTAGCCTTTTTTAATAATAATAATATTCTAAAAAGTGTATAATTGTATACTCCAATAGGTTTGCCGATCATTCTTATCACGTGACGTTTATAAAATGAAATTAAACATGACACATGCGTTATTTACGCATTTTTGTACACTTAAAAATTTACTTAAGGGGTTTGAATGACACTTTTTGACTTTTATATATGGGTATGCGTTTGCTACGCTATCTACGCACCTCATAAAATTTAAATTTTGCATATAAAATGATTGGCCCAATTCCAATAGAAATAAAATCATTTATGTTTCCACTAGTTAAATGTAAAAGAACCGACAAAAATGAGAAAAAATTAAAAAAAGATTACATTTAATAATAAAAAGTGATTTGGCCGATTTGCCTCGGAAATTCTCAATTCCTGATTTTGACAATTAGCATTGACCAGAATTATCAAAATTTTGGCGAGAATTTGTAATTGACACATACTTGTCATGTGATATGTTGTTCTCTGACTTAACCTTAAAAATAAAAACTATCCCGCGAAGTTACCTAAAAATAAATCATTCTTTCATATAAAAATAAAATATAATAACCAATAATCATCAACTTTCAAATTGTGATACAATGATGACGAAGTTATTTCAACAGATTTCAACACCCTTACGTACAATAATTTAACGCGTTTGATTCAAAATTTAAACGTGTGAATAATATTACATCTCATTTGTTTAGATTCATTTAAATGTGTGAATAATATTACATCTCATTTGTTTAGATTCACATAATGAATGGATGAAAATCCGGAAAAGTCTACTAAAAAAAAAAATTTTTTTTTTAATTATTTTTTTTAATGCATCTTGGTACATATCTAGAGAAAAATTCTTTCAAAGAAAAATTTTTTATTTATACTTTGATATTTTAAACATATTTTTTTATATACTGTACACTACAGATAATGCAATCCCGTTACGCTCGACAATTTTAAATGTTTTATTTAGATAATCATTCTTATCAAATCTTTCATTGTTTAATTAATTAATTGATTCTATTAAGAATGGACAATATGATTCTGATTATCTTTAAAGCTACTTATCATTTATAATCATTTTTCATAGACAAAAATCGTGCAAATGTGTTACATAATTAAAAAAATTTCCTCTCCCCAAACACTGTCAAACATTGCATTAATTACCTAAAATTTCGGAGCTTTTTTTTATCTAAATAATGCTTGTTCAAATATGGTATGCTATCAAAGAACAGGCGTAAACAAGCTGATAATCTTATCAAGTCAAAAGATGATCACGCATAATTTTGTACATGATACGATTATCGCAATATATATAAATATCATGCGCGATGATAACAAAGCCCAAATGAATACTTGATTTATAAATAATTTAAAATGATTGAAAACATTTGTTTATATTTTTCGACTTTTGTACAACAAACCATCTTATCTGATTGTCACACAAAACCTTATCTCTTGATAACAATGTCGTACAAATGATTTGACATTTTGTGTAATCAGTAAAAAAACTTATAGCGCCGCCCGGAATAAGATTCTACTTCGGCCGGCACTACTATAACTCTGCCAGAATTTACTACCCTAGCTATGCATGTTAACTAATTAAATTAAGAACCCTTGGCTTGCATTTGACCAACAAAATGGATGGAGTATTTAATTTATTCTTTAGAAATTTTTTATATTTCCAAAAAATTATTCACATTTCAGTTATATCTTGTAATTTCAACAACTACGATACCAATCTAATGATGATATTTATGATGATAATTTTATCATATTAATCGAGATAATATTCATTAAAAGTAATGCTCTAAACTATGATTTGATATGAGTTTTTTTAATTTTTATTTGTAAAAAAAACAGTTTTTAAAGTTTAAACTTCAATTAATCCAAATTTTAACAACCTTAGATTTTTATTTTTATTCTATGGATTTTATTTTTAAACTTGTTTTTTCCTTTTTAATTCTTTTAATTATTGTAATTACTTTTATAATTGATCAAAGAACATATGAAAATTAATAAATAAATAAGAAAATATCGTATACATCCGAAATTAAGCACCCCTTTTGGCCGTAATTTCGCCAGGAATCGCATAATGTAGGCCAAATTTTTCATAATTCTGGCCAGTGTGCTTATTATCGGGGTGCTTAATTTCGGTAATTAGAAACTAGAATCACCTGATTTTTGTTGAAGTTGTCATTAACGCCCATAATTCAGCCGATTTTAAAATAGAAACTGACGTGATATTATGACATTATGATAAATTTTGCAATTTAATATATTAATACAATATAAATATTAATATACACTAATCGGTTCCTTTCATGCAATTTTTATTATAACCAAACTTAACTTACTTTGCGTCCATTACTTCCCTCACTATGCTTAACAAATAAATCATTTACCATACATGAAGAATAAAAGGTCATTTATTGCGGAGCAAGGACCATATATGTCACGTGAATTACATCCTCACGTGACCGACATTATCCAATTGAAATCGCAATCTTGAAAAATTGAAATTTTAAATTTTGTTGGTCCGTCGGAATGCTTAGCTTTCCCTCGTTCCTTTTCCCTTATTTTACACCAAGGTGGTAACACCCTAGGTTCCGATAGGCCTAGTCGTGTTTTAAATACTAGTTTCATAATTACTTCTGACTTTAGTATATAGAGTTCTTGTAATTTTTTTACTGTATTTTGGTTCGCTTTGTGATTTAAAAATAAAAAAAAATTTTCAATTTTGCTATCTTTTCTATCTGCATTAAGAATAATGAAATTAACCTTCACTCAATCACTATTCACAAAGGATGTAGTTTGGTTGTTCATTTACTAGAAATAGATCCAATTTGTCGACTATCACTTTTATTTGGGCCTCAGTTTGAAACAGAAATCGAAGAAATTTACAAAAATTTTTTTTACCTATCACGATCTCCTACATATATTTCACGGGCCATGGTACCCCTTAATTACAAGGGTAGACACTAATTACATTGTGGGGAGACTTTAAAACACCCTCCCCTATAATATCGGGATATTTTTGGAAAAGGACGTTATATGCAATTATAGTGTAGAATGTGAATTTTCTTTCTCTTTTTTTAGTATGTAGCAATAAGAATATAATAAATATTTATTTACAGGGTCAAAACATCACACCCAAAATGTCATCTTTTTCTGTGAACCTATGCAAAGTACCCGGATATTTTTCCGGAAAGGGGTATACATAGGGGATACTATGATCAGTGATACAAAACACTAAGATATCCTCAAATATAGTGTCGAATTGAACTACTATTGACTATTATGGACAGCACTTTTCTTTGCAACATCAGTAAACGTATAATATATAAGAATCTTGGCGCAAACAATCAATCAATTCTGTTCAAAATCAGAAATAATTAGAACTATGGGGAACTCGAACGATTACTGGATGAGCAGATCACTAGAACGATAAAACATATAATAGCTAGAATAGAAAGATACAACGATGATGTAAGTAGCAACTTAGCAAGTATTACCTACCAACGTGGAAATAGGAAAAAAATTTAGGAAAATCAGCGAGAAATCAAAAATATTATTAGTTGAACAAAGAACAGCTCAGTCAGATAGGAATTTTTCGATTCCATCAAAGAGAACAATTGGCAAAGTGCAAACTGCAACAAATTATTACATCATTTATTTTAAAAGATCATAATATTAAAGTATTACGTATGATTATTCTACAAACAATACATATACTGACTACTTCATGAGCCACAACATTGATAAATTCGTGCACATCAGTCGTTTTTCTTTTTTACCGCGAAAAATTGAGAGAATTAAAAATACACAGGAATCAAAAACTATTTTATTTTAGAGATAATGGAAAAAAAAATAATAATATGAATCAATATAATGAAAAAAAGAATAAGCAAGACCCAGAAATGTACATAAAAAGGTCACTTGAGTTCGCGTATAACCAGCCAAAAAAATCATGAAATCTTTCCTTTTACAGCAGATAATGCTGGTAGAATCAATTACTTTTTTAGATACTGACCGAAATTATCATAATTCCGGCCCTGAAAATTGCGTACAGCTAAAAGTAAATTTTTTTTTATCTGCCTTTGACCTTTTTATATATATTTCGGGGTCTGTAGCTGGGTCTGTCACATTATTAATAAAATTAATAAATTACCAACTATGTATTACAGAATGTCGGGATATGCCTGCCTTTATTAGCCAAATTGAGAATAATACATGCAGGAGATAAGTATAAGGTAAATCCAATTTTCTTCAAAGAAAAAAAAAAATATTTCGCTTTTATATAAAGGCAAATGAGGTTTAATAAGATAAGTTTTTCGAGAATAAAAAATAATAATATTTAAAAAAAGCACGATAATTTTTCTTTTCATAAATTATTTAATATGCCATTATATTAATTTATTAATAAAATTCTTCTTTAATTTTTGATTAAGATTTGCTGTGTAACGATGCAACGTGACTTAGCATCCCTTAATTTTTAAACTTTCGACCATAGGGGGTAAACTCAACCAAAAAAGCTTTTATTAAAGGAATTTTCGGTAATAACAAAAAAGGGAATTTAATAAAAGAAAATAAAAAACTATAAAATGAATATAAATAAAAAAAGTAAAAAGGAAAATTATTTCAGTTTTTATCCGAAAATTAAATTGGTTTTTTTTATATGTATAGTAATTACTTCAAAAAAAAAAAAAGATTTTTTTTTATACAAGATATAATAATATCAACACGATGAATTTGAATTAAATTTATTGTATTGTATATGAAAAAAAAACAAAGGAAATAAATGTTTTGAAGTCCGTCGGAGTTTTTTTATTATTCTTTACCAAACAATAAATTAAATAGCTTACACATGAATAACTTCATTTGTGGAAGGGATTCAATGAAAAATGCAAGATAATAAGGTTAGGAAAGAACAACGAAAACTGCTTTTTAATTGATCATTTCATATGATTTACGTGTTTCGTATGTAATCTCTATATTTTGATATATTCGTTAAATTTTTTTTTATTATCCTTTCTTAAGCAATATATATACGCGATTTAAACGCCACTTGCAAATTTAACGTTTGAGAAACAAAGAAATATGTAGGTTTACGTTACATTACACGAATTGTTTTATTTATTTAAAATCCTCTAATCAAAACATATAGTACGATTACTGTTGGCGTCAAAAGATCTATTAATGGATATTCTTTTTTCAAAGTAACTCTTTATCTTGCTATATCATGGCCAATTGGCCATCTTCAAAAAATAATGAATCATACTAATGAGGATTTTCATTTACAAATGATACGAGTGCCAATCGTAATTTGATTTGAATAAGTTGCTTTTCTTAGTAATTATAAAAGAAGAATAGGATGATAGTTTATTGTTTGCAATATAATAGATATACCTTTATATAAATATATTGTTCTCATACTCTTTAATATTATATAATTCATGGCGTAAATTTCGTGAGAAAATAAATGACGATGACATAATTCGTACAACATAACAAAAAACGTTTGAGTCCTTTAGATTCTCAAGTCCATTAAACTTCCGAAACGCCACAGTTCTAGTTTTTTCCGAAGAGATATTTAGTAGTTGTTACATTTTTAACAATATTGCATTAATGATAAATCGAACACTGAAACTAGATAGAAATATTAAATTATTTATAATAGCGTTAAGAATCATTGATAATCACTCTTGCATTTTTTAATACGTTGAAAGTCTGAGATTGATTATATATTTATTTATTTTACTATTTATTAACTTTATTTTCAAGAAAATTTTGATTAAATTTACTAATTTTATCTTAAGAAAGTTTACAAAGTAATAAAGCCTAAGTTAATATTAATTATTAATTATTCAATAGTTACTAGGCAATTCATATCGAATAACTGCTTACTGGCCATACATAAAGAATTTATTTTTAGACTTTCTATATCTAATTTTAACTTTTTCCATATTAAATTAATTATATCATAAATCATCAAAATAGTAAAGGATCGATAATATAAAATTTCGTGATCTGTAGAGTAATATTAATTTTTTCTTTGAAATTTCTGTTTTAATTCTTCAACATTTTGTTAATTTTCATGTTTTAACTTCGTGTTACATCTATTTATCCTTTGATAGTTGGATTCAACAGATAATGAATAAATAATTTATGAATTGAAGTACCATTAACTAATTATTTTCTAAGTTACACAATATATAATGTACGCGATTAAAGCAAAAAATTTCAAATATAAAATTTTAAGAAAAAAGGATTTCTGGTTATTAAAGAATGCATGTGGATATAAAAAGTTAATTATTTTACTAAATTTATAGTTGGTTTATGAGGCTTTACTGTATAACATGATAACATCTTCGGCAAAAGTTTCGTTCACTTCAAAAATAGTATATAAATGTAATAAAATTTTATTTGATTAATTGCACGTAAAAATTGTACAAATCACGTGTATGTATAAGTACTACTCCGCATCAAAATAAAAAACTATATGATATCTGAAAAATTTTATTTTTGGGATTGATACTAAATAGCTAAAAGACTCACTTGAATAGCTTGTACTTGTTTATTTATTCATTTAAACGTAATAAGAGCTCATTGAAATTGACCCCGTTTACTACCAAAAGTAACTTTCAAAATCAATTGTGTTTACTTTGCATAATTAATGTTGTATTTACGCCTTTCATTTATTTTACACAGATGGTTAATTATTTGAAAATCTTTATCGGCCAATATCGTATAATTTTACAATTTAGAATCCATTGGAGATATAACCACCAAATAAATATATTGTTCTTACACTTTTTTATTTAAAATATAATTACCGTATTTTTGCGGTTAGTATTACTCTCCGAAAATAAGCACCCCTGCCAGAATTATGGCTATTTTGGCCAGAATTATGAGGATCTTGGCCGGCATTAAGTGCAAAAAGGGGTGCTTATATAACGCAAAATACGGTATAAAAATAATTTGGCGTAAACTTATGTCGTGAAGAAAACTCTGCGTCAATTTCCATTTTTGTTCTAATTTTTTTTCTCTCGCAAATAATCCTACATAATACAAAAGAAAAATTTTTTTATATGATTTTATCGTTCCTTTAATACTGTAATTTATGCGGTAATAATTAACTCATTTATTTTAATTTATAAAAAAGTTAAAAATAGATTATGGAAAGACCTGTTAACAACAGTAAACCAAAATGTACAATTTTTTTTATGTCGGATTTTTTTTTAGAATAAACTCAAAACCAACTATAAGATAATTAACCCTTATATTCACATGCTATAAACCAATTTTCGAGAGGATTATAATTTAAGAATTTTAAAATATCTAAAAAATTAACAACTTTAGAAATTATGAGGGTCGGATACTACTTATCAGGGCTGTAACTAAAAATAAATACAATAAAAATAAAAAAAGGGGTAAAAATTTCTGGAAAAAACTCCTCATTCTTCTAGTTTTTATTCCAAAAAAAAAACATATGATCAATTTCCTAAAAAAATTATTCCGCCCGTCGTTTTAATTTTCCTAGTTACAGTGCCCAGAAAAAAGTCAGTAACCAATTAAAAAATTAGCAATTAATTAACAAAGTTTACTATTAAGTAAACTTTTTTTTATACTAATAAAATTACTCTTTATTAAATAAGTAAAGCTGTGTATTATAATGAATTATATATATCCTGAAAATTTCGTATTAATTTGATCTATATTGAGTTATTTATTACAATTTTTGTCCATATATTTCAGTGTTTTTAACAAAATTTTTGGTTATAATTAATCATTAAATTTTTTGGTCTTGAAGTATTCTAATCGAATAAGCAAACTTGTTGGTTATATTAAAAAACATGGTTCTTTAAAATTTAAGATTAATCGGATTCATACTTACTAAGGTTTGCTTNAGTCGTTCAATATAATGAACCACTTTTTTGTATAAACAATAACCTTTTTTTCGTACAGTGCCCAGAAAAAAGTCAGTAAGCAATTAAAAAATTAGCAATTAATTGACAAAGTTTACTATTAAGTAAACTTTTTTTTATACTAATAAAATTACTCTTTATGAAATAAGTAAAGCTGTGTATTATAATGAATTATATATATCCTGAAAATTTCGTATTAATTTGATCTATATTGAGTTATTTATTACAATTTTAGTCCATATATTTCAGTGTTTTTAACAAAATTTTTGGTTATAATTAATCATTAAATTTTTTGGTCTTGAAGTATTCTAATCGAATAAGAAAACTTGTTGGTTATGTTAAAAAACATGGTTCTTTAAAATTTAAGATTAATCGGATTCATACTTGCTAAGGTTTGCTTGACTTAATTACAAAATTTTACAATCGATCATGTAATTAGTTACTGATTATCTTTGTTATTTTATAAAACTTGCACTTAAAATCTATAAATTTTTTTTAAATTTTGCTGACATTCTTTCAATAAGAAGTTTGAAATGTACGGGGAAAATTGAGACATAAATTTACTTAATAAATGATCGACAAACAAGCTATAAATAAATAGAAATGATCTTCAATCACGTGATTCATCACGAAATTTTGCATTTAAACAAAGCGAACTTAATGAATATAAATCCAGTTAACCTGAAATTTTAAGGATCCATGTTTTTTAACATGCCCAACAAATTTTCTTAATTAATCACAACATATTAAGACTAAAAAATTTATAATTGAAAATTTATTATAAAAATACAAAATTTTCAAATAAAAATTGCACTATATAATTCATTTTGAATTTAATTAGCTTAAAAATTTTAGGATAAATGTAATTCATTATGACGCACAATATTACTTAATCTATGAAAGGCGATTTATTTATTATGAAAAAAAGTTTACTTAGTGGTAAACTTCACTAACTAATTGCTAATTTTTTACGTGGTTACTGACTTTTTTCCGGGCACTGTACATTCTAAAATAAACACAGTATATAAAATAAATAATAAAATATATACAATATATAAACAAAAATAATAAACGTAACATAAATAATTAAATATGTTCTAAATCAATTTACCCATTTAAAAATCGAATTATACGTCAGAATTAATTATCCGGTAACCCGGGTACTATAATGGGGTACTTCAAAAAGAGGGGGGTCTTCTCAAACCTCAAATTGAATAGAACCTTTTTTTCTTCTTCAATTGATAGAAAACGCTCAATCATCATTTCAATTTATTTTTATTTTCGTATAACAAAATGTGTTCTCAGCAAGATTTTCAATATAGAAAATTTATTATTTTACTTTCAATGCAAAATAAATAATAGAAAATATGATACAAATATGCATTGCCTTTCAAATTTTACTTGATCATAAAAAATAAGCTTAATGTCAAACTATAATATAACTAAATAAAGAACAAAAATAAAAAAGATGCATTTTTGTTATACGAA